CCAGGTTTCAGACAAAAGTGCGATGTCCACATTTTGTTCTTCTAAAAGGTGTTCCAAATTACCTTTATTTGCTATAGCCGATCTACAATTCCATGACATATCCTCAAAAAATTCATTGTGGTTTCTAAATGCATTGTATAGATTCTATTTTATGTTTTTTATAACGTGCGAAACACCTTGGTAAAAGTGGTAAAATGATTAAAAATATACTGTAATTTTCTTAATTCTTAATTTATTTGTCTATATTTAATCTTTCTCTTATGAGATTAGTTATAGTTGATTTATTCAAGCTGTTAATGTTTGTTTCTCTAAAATTTTGTAAGAACAAATATAACCAATTCTGAAAACTTGTTGGATGAACGTCTCATCTCTCGTATTAAATTCATGTACACAGTAACTGGGTTATTAGTGATACCCCCGGGTACCTGTGGAGTGTTTATTTGACTCACAATTTGTCTCCTAGCTTCTTCTGTCAAATCTGGCGAGGAAGGCGAGTTCCGTTTCAAAGGTTTAGACAACCTTTGTGTAAAGTGCGAATTCGCATTTGGAATATTTATTGATGTTTGAGCTTTTGTTGACTGAGATGGAAGATTAGAACTATTGATTTCTTGAGGCGTAATGGGATTATTTTTGGTAACTGAAGCATATGTGGTTTTTGGGACCGCATTGTTTGAGTCTCTAAAAGAAGAATTAGTCATTGCCATATGCTTTTTAATTGCCTTTTGCCTCTCAAATTCATACCTTTTGAGGTTTCAAATGAGTAGTGACTGCCATCGCAAATTAAACATTTTGTTCCAAAGAGTCGTTGTGGCATGAGCTAGTAACATGTTCTTCGTGACATTTTGCACACCTAGGCTTGCTTCTACATTGCTTACCCAAATGACCATAACGCATACAGTTATGACACAGAATTACCTTCTGTATATAATGGTTTACATCAAAAAGAACGTGATTTATAGCAACACGCTTAGGCAATTCTTGCGCTTGAAAAGTAACTACAACCTTATTTATAGGTAGATATTTAATGTCACCATTTTGATCTGATTTCCGGTGCATGCGTTTACCGAATCCACCGAGAAAATGCAGTGAGAATCGAAAGGTTTGATCCTCTCCAACAAGTACTCGTCTGATAAGTCTTTGTCCACCGAAATAACACCCTGTCTATATAAAATGAATTTGGGTATATAAACGTCTAAATTGATATTTTTGAATAAAATCGTTTTATTTAACAGGACATTTGCTGATGATGGATTTTTGAATAACAATCCTTACCCTATTGCGTCCAATCGATCAATTCTTTTAATCATGTTGTCAACTTCAGGAATATTTTTGAGAATAGTTTCACCAACCTTAACTGGATTTAATTTACCTGAGAAATTTGGTTCATTGTTTCGATATAAACATGATAGGGGCCCTTATCAGTTTGCTTATATGTTAAAAGCGGTCGATCTGCTTTTTGGGAGATAATGTTGGAAGTTCTACCTGCATTACTCCTGATTGTAGATCATAGTCAATTGTATTATCATTACCCGACCTGGGAATTATCTTCAATAATTGCATCCATTGAATCCTTCGATTCCTTCCTTTTCTTTCCAGGGGGCAAGCCCCCTTGGGAGACGCTCATATATGTTGCGGGGCTCCTGCTCAGACTTGATATACCTAAAACCTACTTACAGAACAGCTAAGTTTCGCCACTAATTAAATATTCAAGCTCGGAATCGACCAAAAATGATGTTCGCTCGTCACGTCACTTTGACGTATTGTTCACTGGCAGATGAAGAAACGTAGTGGTATGCCATGTCTAGTGGGACTCCAGAAAGCATTGCTAACGTTCAGCGGTTAACTGAAAAAGATTCTCGCTGCACATATGAGATTATAGAGGCAACTCTTGGAAAAGCATGCGCAACAGTGCACACACATTTTGCATGATCATCTTCATTTAAAAAAGTTGTTGCGACATCAGCTTACTGATGACGCCAGCGTCACATCAAAATGCCAGAACATCCGCCTTATTCGCCAGATTTGGCAATGTGTGACTTCTGGTTCTTCAACAATTTGAAAAAATCTGAGTGGTCGAAATGTTCGTCCAAAAGGAAATGGATCGATCAAATAATCAGTTTGTTGAAGGCACTGGTATGCCATGTTCTAGTGGGACTCAGAAGCATTGCTAACGTTCAGCGGTTAACTGAAAAGATTCTCGCTGCACATATGAGATTATAGAGGCAACTCTTGGGAAAGCAATGCGCAACAGTGCACACACATTTGCATGATCATCTTCATTTAAAAAGTTTGTTGCGACATCAGCTTACTGATGACGCCAGCGTCACATCAAAATGCCAGAACATCCGCCTTATTCGCCAGATTTGGCAATGTGTGACTTCTGGTTCTTCAACAATTTGAAAAAATCTGAGTGGTCGAAATGTTCGTCCAAAAAGGAAATGGATCGATCAAATAATCAGTTTGTTGAAGGCACTCCAAAAACTGACTAGCTAGAAGCATTTGATTTGTGGAAGGTCAGGCTACAGAATTGCATTGATGCTGGAGGAAAATACTTTGAACATAAATAAACTAGTTTTCGAAAAATAGTTTTTAGTTTTCGTGAATCTCAAAATATATAGCGTGGCCCTCGTATATCTAAATTTGGTCTGATAATTTAGATGATCTGCTATCAACTCTTCTCAAAAAGGACTCTGACCAAAGTAATCGTGTGTGCCATAAAGAAAAATATGGACAATCTACAACCGATTTTGACTACATCATCTTTTATTTATCATACTAATCGCCCTTTAAATTACAAGTGATCTCAAAAGTAAGGTCTCCTATTTCTTTGAAAGTACGAAAAATCATTCATTTCACCCACAAACGTTTATTGCAGTTGATGCATTGAACCTCATCTTTCATATCTCCGTCGAAACCTGGTCAAAACTATATTGCATTGTCAAATGTTCTGACAACTTAGGGAACAAGTGGTAGTCGCTGGGTGCCAAGTCTGGATGATGATCTCCCATCCAGTGTTGATAAATTCAAGCACTTTTTCAATGGTTTCTGGCGTAATCACAAATTTTGGCTGGCCAACATGTTCGTGGTCTTCCAGCGACTCACGACTCTCTTTGAACCGTGTAAACAACTCGTGGACTCGGCTGCGAGATAAACAATCATCACCATACACTTGCATCAACATCTGATGCGTTTCGGTGTTTTACCAAGTTTAACACACAACTCAACATTGGCTCTTTGTTCGATGCTAAAAAGATACTTTGAGCGCGATAACTCGCGTAAAGTGGTTCGATTGTTATGAAATGAATAATAGTTGGCGCTACTTGTATCGGATATCTTTTAAAAGTCCTGTTTACGTTGCGACAGACCTTCTATGAGTTTTTTCCCAGTACCTACCTTTTCACACTAAGTTGAAATAGCATATTTGCCGGAAAGCAATGCAGCTTCAAGGACGGTCGCTAAAGTTGTTCAGTGCTTCCCCAAAGACCTGGCGACGTGCAGATGTGACATCGCCATACAAAAACTGCTCGGAAGTTATTAAGTAAATAACTTATATCCGACAAATGTCAACTTGCTGACTAGATAGCTCGTATTATGCAAATAATTAATTCCGCTCTTGCTCGCTGTCAGCGTCACCAATGGAAGAATGACTCAACGACACGCTGCAAGCCAGAGATGTGAGAGAAAAAAAATTGGTTGAGTAGCAAGAACGCATTTGGATTCTGTGGGTTTTGGTCTGTATCTGTATAAAGTCGGTGATATTTGCTATGTGAGAAAAGTATACTGAGTGACAAAAAAGATAAACACCTAGGTACGTTTATTAGAATTAACGTTTACCACACCGTGGGAGTTATGGTATGAGGTGCTATTGCTTATGGTAGCAGATCACCACTAATTTTCATCAGAGGCAATATGTCAGCCAGACGCTATATTCAGGAAGTAGTGGAGCCCATGATAGGTCGCAGGCTTTTGAATTTGCAACACCCTCACAGACTTTAGCAGCTCTTAATCATGCACTTGCATTAGCCTGGAATGAGATACTCCAACAGGATATCATCCACCTTATTAGCACAATGCTCAGGCGTGTCAATGAGCGTATAGGAAATCGTGGATCCTCAACACATTATTGAACCAGCTTCTGCAGTCAGTTGAATCAAGCTAAAAATTTAATCATTTTACTAGTAAGGACACAACATATATGCCAATTTATTAAAATCGAAAAACATATAGACATAGACAGGTTATTTTTGTTTTCCTTTCTGAAGAGAGGTTATTCTCAAAGTTATAAATTATGGTTGTCTCCATTTTTTGCGTTTTTAAAAACTTTGAGAAGCATTAGGGGAAATCACCATTTCGCTCACATTGTGTGTTAGTTGTAATATTCTTCACAAACCTGGGATTTTCTTTTCTTATCTCTTTCATTTTGAATATACATATACACGTACATTATAAGATACAAATAAAGCAGTGTTTTATTTGCCGAAAAAGAATTAGGTTTTGTATATTTACTTTTTGAGGTGTTAGAGTCAAATGGAAACAATTAGAGGATATGCGTATCTCAATTTGAACAAAAATTTGTTTGCCCTCATATATATGAGATGTAGAACACATATAATGGCTAATGGTGGACAATCTGAATACCTGTTCTACTAAACATAATAAACAATTTCTAACATGAAGTCAATCCTGCCATTACTTCTTATTTGCATCTTAAAAGTAGTTTTTTGATATTCTAGAAAATTGACCAACCAATAATGAATTTCTGTAAAAAGGAAAGTAGCAAAACAAATTTTGGACAATAGTACCATTGCAATAATAGCATTAAATCACTATTTTTTAAGTATATGGCACAGTAATCTTAGCCCATTCTTTCGTACTACAGGGTGTCAAAGTATAAATTTGTTATTAATAGAAATGTTGCATAGAATATTTCTCAAGCAAGTTTTGCTACATAAAAGTATAAAACACTGATTTTGATAAAATTGTGAATACTTTGAAACAAACCCAGCTCAAAGAATGATATTTTTGTAGAAATGGTAACAATTCAACAAGACCAGTGTCGAATTTTGTTAAAAGATAATTGCTCTATACAGGGTGTAAATTTCTCGGTGGATTAACAGAAGTCTGATGATAGAAGGCCCCCAATACCTGTCGAATGAACCCCCAGATATGTAATTTGATATTTTATTTCACAAGATATTTGCAATTTTGTGATACCTGATTGAATACATTAATGGTCTATTTAATTTTGTGATACCTGATTGAAAACATTAATGGTCTATTTAAGAGGGAAATTCCTAAATAAAATAGTATCGAAGAATGATTTTTCTATGACTTAAAATATATTTGTACAAAAACAATAACTCATAAAGCAACAATGTTACAGCCCAAAAGCCCTTTTCCAGTCCACTTTTTTGGTACCAATACAAGTGTAATAAATCTATCTCCCCTTTTCAATTTAATATTCACTCGTGCTCCTTCTGAATGTTGTACGACTGTTGCAATGTCTGTTATGTTCTTAAAGTTGGTGGCATTTACTGAGCCAAATTCAACAATTCCATCATTTACCATGATGCCAGCATATTGGGCAGGACCATTTTCACTTACAATTGTCACTTTTGCAAATGGAATCTTGTACACCATTCCCTGTTCCCTAGTATTGACCTCCATTGATGTCTCCTAAAAAAGTGATTATTTATATAAGCATTTCCTTTGTGTTGATATGGAATGTTTGTCTATATGTAGCTCTTAATAAACTTATACACTGACCACAATACCTGGGTTGTTGAAGGAAGTGGCATACCATAATACCCCTGTAGTCCTTGTTCTATTTGTTTCATTAGATTTTTGTGGTCATTTTGAAGACATATTATCTTGTGTCTAGCATTGCGTACTTGGTATATATCGATAGATCCAATGGGAAAGTCATCACCGTCTACCAAAGGTTCATTCATACCTACTCCATTCTGTGTCAGGATGGTCGTTAGGCTGTCGATTTCCTTTTCAATCTTCTCTTTAACAGTCATCAAGTCAAGAACTTGCTCTCGAATATTTTCACGACTCATTTTTTCAATGCAACGGTTAGCCACTCAAATGAAAATATTTGTTATGGAAATTATATAGGCTGAAGCTCCATGATGATACTCAATATTCGACAACTCGATTTGTTTTTGTCTTGTCTGATTTGTCTGTGGTCTTGCTGTTTGCTGTTGCCTCTTAACCTCAGTTTCAATGGATCAAGATGTGATCCAGAAGCTTACGCACAAAACATATACACTGCATTCTGCATTGATTGCATCCAACGACGGTGAAAAACTGAAAAAACACGGACCCTAGAGATGTACCGATCCACGAAAAGTATCGATAGCATGTATCGTTTACGAAGTATCGGTACTGTAAAATATCGGAATAAAATATCGAAACCATAAGTATCGAAACCCTTCGATGCACTGCCGAAAATCAAAGATGTCTTTTCTACATCCTCAAAATAAGGTTTACTTTTTCAACTGCATGACTAGATTGTCAAATACGTTCACTAATAAAAATAGGTAAAAAGACTTCACGATTGCATAACATACATCTCCCACCTAAACTCGATTTCACAAAATAGCTCCACAAATCACTTCTTACAGGAGGCAACACTATCATAATAATGTTTTGTTTAAAACTATGATGTTTATCAATCAATACTAAAAACACTGTGTGACATGTGTATGTAATTCCCCGAAAACGAATCCAACAGGGTTGCCAGGTCGTTTAGCTCAGTTTCCCCAGTCGAAATGTAAAAATCCCCAGTATTTTTCAAAAATAATCCCCCAAAAATACCATTTATTTGTTGTGGCATAAGTTTACGATTTGTTAGGTATTCTTGCATCTTAAAATATTTTTTGGGCGACATATTTTTAAAGGTAAAAGTATTTGCTTCTAATCGAAAGACAAATAAATAAATAACAAGTGTATTGTAATTTCATTAATAAAATTTTACATAATAATACCTCCCCAGTGAAATATGTTTCCCCAAAAGAAATCTCCAGAAAAAATGTCCCCAAAATCTTCCCCATTGAAATAAAAGTCTCCTGATTTAGCAACCGCGGATTCCAAAATAAATTATGTGAGGATTATGTAGGATTGTGTAAAAGTAAGTACAACCATATTAATTTTTAATAACACTTTAATCAAATAAGCAATGTGCGGTAATGTAAATTATCAATTAATTAATTTGGTGGTGGTTCTGTGGAGCTGGCAAATCATGATATTCAGTGGATGACGAAGATGCTGATGAAGGACTTGTCTTAGATTCTGATGATGTTCCAGGATTGATTTACGAGCATTTGTGCAGTATCCACATTTTCCTGCCTTGAATCTCCCCATGTCGGCTTCAAAAAGTATTTGTGATATTTCTGCCTCGCGCGTTGGATCGCCTGGTGTGGATTGCCTATTCAGATTCGGTTATGTGAATTTTATTGTTCTTTCTTTTTTTCGTTATTTTTATAAGGTGTTTCTAAGGCAATTGAAAAACAACTCAAATCGTTTTATGTATTGAAGAAAACAACAAAAATTGGAATTTCGTTCAAAATTCGGTTTACAGCGAGTGTTACGAATCAAGTGGTTGCCATGATGATAGGCGATAATTATCGCCTAGAATTACATAAATACCAAATCTTGTGACACGTGATAATTATCGTATACGACTTTCATCACTGATTTCAAGAATACGGCCCCTATAAGTCGAACACGAACATCAAGCAAAGATCATTTCACATCTCTACTATATGTCAAACTGTCAACATTGTACCGTCAAATGTCAAGAGAAGCAAGACAAAATGTCAAATAGTCAAATTCAAAAATTAACGTAAAATCTGCTCGAAAGAACATTGGTAACCGACTATTCATAAGTATTTAAATTACTTTCTGGTAAAAATAGCAAATTTAGTTTAAATGATGGATGATATAATTACCTTTAATAAAAGCCTGCAACAGCGATACCAAGAATACCGAGAAGTGTTCGGAGGGCTTCCTGTTCCCTACAGAAAGTTGAACAAATGTTGGACCTTTTACCTTCAATTTACAGTAGATGTCATAGGATGGCAGGCCGTTTGGAAAATACCAAGACTCACTTGCGAATCTCTGTGCATTTCCTTCCCTTCGTTTGTCTTGGTTTTGGTACTGGAAATCGATTTTGAAAATCTTGAGGCATTGGTGAGGGTACTGGCTGTGAGAGATGACATTGTTATTCCAGACATTCACAGAGTGCAATTGATTCAGTTGGGGTGACGAAAGATCAGGATAAGTCTATAGCTTTAAATTTGGAGTCCACAGCTAATTCCATAGATATGCTGAGGTTTTTCTATTTGTATTTAGTGAGACCTTGGGATGAAGATGAGGAGTCAGATTGGGTTTCAAGTCATCTGGAGAGCAGACTGAGGTGAGTGTAAAAGTAAATTAAACGATTCAAGCAACTAGGTCGTTTGAAAATACTTTCTCAAGAGATAACATCTCTACCCATATGCACTGTGTGCCAAAATTAGCACCTCACTACTTAGGTTTTTTGTTACTTCTTGAGCTACAGATTCTCTTTATATAATAATAATAATAAAAAAATGTCTTTATTAGGCACATTATATAAACTACAACATAATGTGACCTCTACATAGGCGAAGTCTAGCTCTTGGCTACTCTACTTAACCTACCCAAATAATAAATTGGAATACTTAATCAAAGGAAACTTTGACAAGCAGCAAAAGATGCTTCAAAAGAATGAGCTTGGTAGCTTCCTGACATATATAATATATACACACATATATTACCTAAAAATAAAATAAAATGTAAGAATTAAAAACTAACTTTTCCACAATTACTACAATGACAAATAAATCTGTTTCACATGCTTACGAAATCTGTTTACTGGCCAATCCTTTATATTGTCATCTAATTCGTTATAAATCAGGTTAGCATTGTAAGTGTATGAACTACGAAATAAAGTTGTTTTATACATAGGGATCTCTAGTCTGTTTTGTGTCTTAAATCAATGTCTGAATTATTTCGTCTGAAAACAAATTTCTCATAAAGATACAAGGGGGATCGAGAAGATATGATCTTATGTGTAAACACTGCTATATGGTACTTGCAAGCATTTTCTATACAGATCCAACCAAGCTGAAATCTCTTTAAGGAAACATGATCATACTTCTTGAGATTAAATACAAATCGACAACAAGTATTTTGGAGTTTTTGGAGTCATGCTTTTGTGATAAAATCAAGACAATGATAGAACACAGTGCTACAGTAAAATAAGCTTGGGAATATCATAGCCTCACATAACTTTTTTCTAACTTCAAAATTGACATAAAAACACTTCAAAGTTGCATAACATTTTTTTAAGATAGGCGAAACATGCTCCTTAAACCGTAAAGTATAATCAATAATCAACCCTAAATTTTTGTAGTATTTACGACAGCTAGATGCTCCTTGTCGATTTTTACATCAAGAGAATTCAATATAGTGTTACGTTTGACAGCAGGACAAAAAAGCATCACTGAGCACTTATCCTTATGGAGCTTAAGATTGTTACCATTTGAGTATCCTACTATTGCCTCCAAAATCATCATTAAGCTCATAACTTAAAATTTATAGACTTCTTCAACCTAATAAATACCTAACTTTGTTATTTGGCAATCAGAACATAACTAAAAAATGCAGTAAAATGATTATTGCATTATGATTCTCAAATTAAAATTAACAATATTCATCCGATAGGTTATACTATGATCTGAAGAGTGGTTCCATACCAAGAGCATGTGCTGAACATATACATTCATTGTTGACTCAAGCAAGAAGTTTGGCAAACAAGAGAGACTTCTTAAGGAAAAAGATAACTCGAGATTGCTTGGAAGAAGGTATGTTATGAAAAAAAATATAATAGATTTATTACATTTTGCTTTATATCTCTTATTAGGATTTTATTAGCTGGGTGGTATGTTTTATTTATGTAATTATTATTGTGTGAAATAGATATTCTATTCACTACTAGGTAGCTTTTTTTCTATAGTATCTGGTAAACAAGCAGCAAATAGCAATACAAGGTCTATCGCAATGTAAACATGACTTTTGAAAGATATCCAATACAAGTAGGGCCATCTATTATTGGAGATTAGCGTTGGATAGGTACATCTTTCATTGATGTCCTGTCAAAATTTCATGACAATCAAATCACATCATGTGGAGTTACTGCACTCAAAGTGTTAGTACCTTTTTAGCATCAGTCGAAAAATGAGCATTGAACAAAAAACCAATATTAAGTTCCGTGTTACACTTAGTAGTACATTTACTGAAACGCATCAGATAGGTCGTTTTTTGTTGCCAGAATTCCATATGTCATAATAATATGCAATAATAATCAATACATACATAATTGATAATTTCATAATGCTGCAATTGTAGAAAAAAACGCATATGTATTTTCGAGCGGAAAGAAAGCATTTTGTGTTCTTGATTCACAGATAACATCATACTAGCAGTGCATTATGGTATTTGGATACTTAAATTATTTTTGACGCACATCGAACTTTTCCATTGCAGCCAATCTTGATTTCAATTCTAATGGCCTTTTTAGATGCCTAAGGATCACAAAAACGACTGCTCACACAAAGTTAATGTTTTCGACCTCTGGAATTATCTTTTTACTTCCTGTGCCCACTGGCGGGGAAGTATTGTAATTGATGAGATATTGTTTTTTGGATGTTATATGACAGGGTGGCCAACTAAGAAAGCGAGGCACTGTATCTAGGAACCTATCCATCGTAGAGGCTCGCGGCAATTACTAAAACGGCAAAGAGAAAAACCTGGAAAGTATTTCAAGTTTCTGAAATGGCGGCTAATCTAAGTGATGTTTCTGTGAATTCCGCTATGTTACCCTAACAAAAAAATATCTGTTCTTTAAATTCGAGGTTAATCTAAACGTTTTTTGTTTGACCATTTTTGCTGTATCTCTAAAAGTAAAGTTGTGGGGGGTATTCAAAGGTTTCCGTAAAAACACCCTGTATCTTCGAAACGGTGAGCCGATTTTAACAAACTTGGCTAGTTCAAAAGAGCTATTCTTTTTCATAAAAAAATCATTCAATTTTATTGAAAAAATTAACCATTTCTGTCGAAACACGAAGGAAATAAAACCGCTCAAACTTCACTTTTTTTGTAGGGGTGGAGCAATATAGTTATACAGTTTTACGCACCTATCTACATATTTCACACATCGTAGATGTCCCCGTTCATGTGCCCTTAAAACTTTTTGTTATAGGTGTAGAGGGACTAACTTGCGCCAAACATAATCGTTTATGAACAATGTTGCGTGGGAAGTGCAGGCAACCCACTTGACGCCTTTTTTTAATTTCAGACTTGTATATGGATACCTTTACGAAAATTTACTGTGAGTTACTAGAACTGCAGCCTCATATAGATATGGCAGAGGATCCTCTATTAAGGGATTTCTTAGTAAAAAAACTGGACCAATATGAGTTCGGGTGACCAAAGAAGTGAAGAAGAGACATGGATAATATATGATCAAGGCACAGCTAATGATTACATGAACTTTTAGGGAAAGTCAAAGAAGTATATCCTACCGAAACATTTAGGTAACAATCTACTACTTACATGGCCATATTCTATGTTATTGTACAGAGTGTCCCAATGTTCCATGGACATAGAAGAACCACATTATTTTTAGACTAGAAATAAGTCTATTGGACATGATGTACCTTTGTGGGAAGGTGCTTCGTTTGTCCATCGGAGAGCGTCAAATTTTCCCTTTTAAAATAGATACTTTTGGAACCGATAGTCCGATTTGAATGAAATTTGGAACACGTGTTTTGTTATGTTTGACTTTTACAAAAAAAAACCGAAAGGTCAAGGGAAGGGTGAAAACTACCCCTACCCCTATACAGGCTGTTAGGTAAACATGCGGCAAAAAAAACAAGGGCCTCGATTAAACCAACTTGGAGTCTGACAGTTCCTGTGTTGCTATAGACTTATTGTCAACATTTACATACTCATTAAATTTGTCTATATTCACTAAACCATTAATTTTCAATAAATCACTTAATAAAATTTCATCCTCTGGATTAAAATCGTTGACTATTTCAGTTAAGTTTTTCACTAAACCAGCATGGCGAAAACAATTACGAATCGTTTCTGGAGTAACCAATTCCCAAGCAATAGTAAGCATATTTATAGCATCTAAAATGGTAACAGCTTTGGTAATGTTGACAACTTCTTGAAGCTCTATAATATTCATCAACATATATTTCCGATACATTTTAAGACTCCAAATGACACCCTGGTCCATTGGTTGCAGAACTAATGTCACATTCGGTGGAAAAAATTGAAGGTTGATGTTATTAAGTAAAATATTTGGATGAGCTGGGCAGTTATCGATCAAGAGCAAGATTTTACGATTTTCAGTTCAGCGTCCCACTTTTTTAATATTCTTCAAAAATTGATGAAGTCATCCAAGCTTTATTACCTCCAACACAAACGACGGGATTGTTTTAACAATTTTGAAACACCTGGTATTCTTAAATTTCCCTGAAATAAAAAAAGGTCATAAATTCTTTGCAGCACTGCCATTGAATATCAAAAAAATTAGAACATGAATTTCTATTCATTCACTTATCTATTATCAATAGTTTTCGTTTTTCAGCACCAATCATAACAGTTATTCGCTCTTTTGATAGTTTCCGTCTATTGCAAGTTTCACCTTTGACTCTTCAATCTCCTGATCAGTCGCCGTGCGCTGTGCGGGTTCGAGTCCCGTCCCAGGAGAAATTTTTCTCTTGGCTATGGATGTTGTGATTGTCCGTAGGTGGTAGATGGTCTCTGACTGTCGAACGCGGAGGTACCACCCGGCGGTTCTCGTAGGCGGAGCCAGAATGTGTGCATGTTGCATGCACACGTGTTCCCTCGCCAGAGTCTGTGTGGCGTCCCCCCCTTTCCCATGTATCCCCCTATAGCCCCACGGTACCCAATGGGTGCTTAGGCCTTAGGCCTTCGTGGTAGTTGGAATATAAAAAAAATATATATTTGCTTGAGATGAACCCTGCTCAAGCTCTCTAATTATTGTGAACTTTCGTGTAAAGTGAATGCACGTTTCGCACATTTCGACGTGTTTATAACTCTAATAAATACAGTATAACACTGGTGGCCAAGTTCGAATGCAAACCGCAAAGCCAAACCGCCGTAAACGATAGCATCAGCTAAACCTGCTTCGGGGAACTACCAAAGTAGCTCGCATATAATTATTATTTACGGGTTTCCATTATAGCAAGTTCATTATAAGTGGATTCCACTGTATTACTAAAATTTAACAGGTGATTTAAGAGAGATCGCGGAGGAGTTGCCAAAAGCTTGAAACAGCTGTCCACGGTTGGCTGTCTTTGGTGGGATGGACGAACGCAGCACGCTCAATGGTGAGTAGACCATATCAGATAGTTAACCACAGTATCTTGCTAAGAAAAATGAGACTTTTAGGCTTCCCTGACATTATGGGTCTTGCTTTGTAATTTTTTTTTATAGACCAACAGGTGCGGATAGGCAGCGCCAGGCCTCGCCATATCAGTGCTTCTCTGGTGACCCTGAGGGTGGTTCATGTTCTCCGTGACTCAATATTTTTATAAATGACAATTCAGTTTGTTTTAAAAACAGTAAATTTTTATTATTCGCGGATGATCGAAAATTTTATCGAGAGGACGGTTCTGGGCAGGATTTGATTTTGTTTCAAAATGACTTTACAGGCTAAGCGAATTGGTGTGTTAATAATGATTTATCATTAATATTGTTACTGTTTTATTGACGTCAGCAAAAATAATTATTCTTATGTATGCATATTTTGCGATCAAATGCATACGATGCATAAAAAATACAGTGTAACATTGCGGTTAAAAATTCAAGGGGTTATCCTTGGCCTATTATAAGAATATTTTGTCCTATGATGATTCTCAAAAGCCCCTTTGTTTCGAAGATACAGGGTAAACAAAATTACGACAACCGTATTCGATAGTTGTTGAATCATTAATGTAAATAAATGTCATACCGATAATGAGTTTAGCAAGTACAAAGAAACTGTTGGAACGGTTGTTCATCTACAAGCGGATATCATTTAAATGCGTCTCGTAAGTGATAATCATCGGTTATCGGGTCGCAGTTGTTTACATTGAATGAAGTTTGGCAGTTTAACATGTCTTTAATAGTTAGTGAAGCCATCTACCATGTATGATATGACTGACCTATATTTCATGTATGGACTTGCTGATGGCCAATTCATTGGAAGCTAGACGATTGTACATTGAACGGTTTTTTCGGCTGTAATATCCCCGATCGAAGAATCTTCAAAAACATCGACGGTTCCGTGAAACAGGCACGTTGAAACGAAATGCAATACGGAATTTTCATAACATCATGTGTGATTTCATCATCAGTTTGTCCTTGAATGTTTGGGTAGGAGTTGTGGGTGACTATCTAATTGGGCCGATATTCCTACTAGCAAGATTGACTGGGGAGATTATCGTAACTTTTTGGAAGAAACACAGCTCGAGATTCTGCAGGATGTACATTGGCAACAAGAATTGTAATGTGGTTTATGCACGATGGTGCACCACGACATTTCAGTTTGGTTGCTCGTGATTTTTTTAGTAGCACACATACGGAGGGTCGCTGGATTGGTCGAGGTGGGCCACGCGTATGGCCTGCTTGATCCCCAGACTTGAACCCCCTGGATTATTTCTTATGCGGGTCTCTGAAGCCATTAGTTTACGCTGTAAGTCAATTAGAAACAACCCTGATGTGTTTGAAAGAGTTGGGCACTCAATGACGAGACGATCGAGTGCTTGTATCCAGGCTGGAGAAAGTCATTTCGAACATTTATTGTAGATTGAGCAACTTTACATGTACTTTTTAATCATAAAATGTTGTTACTTCACAAATTTTGTTCACCCTGTATCTTCGAAACAAGGGGATTTTCAGAAATCATAGGACAAAATATTCTTTTAATAGGCCGAGGAATAACACCTTGAATTTTTGCCGCATGTTTACCTAACACCCTGTCTGAATTATAGCAGAATTTTTCCACAACTTTCTCGAAAATCCTTTTATTTACTTAATACCACTTCGCATAGTTTTCAAGAATAAAATGTTTTTCGGAGATAGTTTCTAATAAAATTTCTTATTTACATCAACTGTTAAAACTGTTAGTATAGTTGTAGTCACTTTTCTTGACGGGTCAAAGTAAGACTACCAGTATCCCTTTATATATCTCCATTTCCGTCATACATACACATGCAACCTACCCATGTGTGTGAACGTTTGTTGGGTAAGCTCAAAGATATACCTTTTTTTAGTTGTGTGTCTCCGTCTCGAAAACTTTGTCGTTACGTAAGAGTGCCTGTCAATCATATTGTCAGAGTGGCAACTTACTTGATATCAGCGAGCAATTTGAGGTGTCCTGTTATCAGTTTTCAATATAAAATTGTACAAGGTCGGGAAATACGATCAATGGAGAAGGCCGACAGCTTATGCTAAATTCTTTAGAGTATTTCCAGGAAGAGAATGAAAACAGCGGTCCCCTGTTACGCATGAATTGCGCTGTTACCCACTTCATGCGTACTGGCGAGAGTAGTCTGCGCCCATGGTACGGAGTGCTCGATCTGTTTACTTATTTCATATGGCGTTGATGACGTAACGGCCAAGAACGATGACTACAACTAGAGACATCTAGTTGGCGGAAATGTAGGATATCACTTCGAGATTATCGATTCCAGCCTGTAAGAGTCAACGCTGGGAAACCGCGGCAAACCTGAACATCGCTAGTGGAAGAATTGTTCTTGAAGTGGTTAAGAAAATCCAGATATCAGCACTCGCAGATTGGAATACGAACAAGGAGTTCAAAATGCACTGTTAACTGGATTTTAAATGAACAACTCATCTGACTATCACTCACGTTTGAGACTTGTACAAAATGTATCAGAAGCGGCTGATGGGTCATTTCACAAGAAAATTTTGTTAACAGATGAATCGTGCTTTATCCGATATGGTATGATAAATTTGCGTAATACTAATATTTACGCTGAAGAAAATCATACAGTTTCAGAAAGGCATTTTTAATGGGAATTTAAAAGTAACGTTTGGATATGGATCATTGATAACTTTTTAGTTGGTCCATATAGGTTGCCTGATAAAGTAAATGGAGATAGCTATCTTTATTTTCCACACTACATTTTACCTGAATTATATGAAGAACTGCTTCTGAGTGTAAGAAGAGACATGTTTTTATGCATGATGGTGCTCCACCTCACTTTGCGTGTGGTGTAAGAAATTACTTGAACGAGAAATTTGTTGGTACATGGATTGGTAGAGGTCAAAAAGCTCCTATTCAATGGCAACCTCGTTCCCCGTATCTTAATCGTTGCGATTTTTCTGTATGGAAGCATTAAAAACAAAGCTATACTAAGTTCAGATAGACAACGCCAATCAACTTTGGGAAAGGATTCAAAATGCTGCAAATGCAGTAAGAAAAATAGAGAAAGCTAACTATATTTTTGCGCCG